AAGAAGAAAATCCATGTGATTCATTTCATCTTGCTCAACAAGGAATTTCAAAACTTCTTCCCTTTTCTTATCATGACTTTTATTTTGGAGAAGTTCAAAAACAAAACTTCATTTTTCACGTCTTTCTTTCTCGGGAGAAAGTCGGTACCCTCCACTCATGACAAAAATGACGGAAAATTTTTGCTTTTGCATTTTTAATTGCTTGTGTCAGTGCACACACTCACTCAAGACACACACAATCACAAGTCATACACATGTCGTGTCATGTCAAGTCAAACTTGGTCAAGTCTTTTTCTTTTGCATTTTTAATTGCTTGTGTCAGTGCACACACTCACTCAAGACACACATAATCACAAGTCATACACATGTCATGTCATGTCAAGTCAAACTTGGTCAAGTCAGTTGGTCAAGTCAATCACAGTATATACGAGTCCCTTGGCAAATTTTATTTTGCAGGTCTTATCTACAGCCCACATCCAGAGACAAACGGACCATTTACAGCCCACGTCCGGGGACAAGCGGACCATCTACAGCCCACGTCCGGGGACAAGAGGACCCGTGGGACAAGAGGACCATCTACAGCCCACATCCGGGGACAAGCGGGCCATCTACAGCCCACGTCCGGGGATAAACGGACCATCTACAGCCCACGTTCGGGGACAATCAAACCACCATCATTTCATGACGCAAGGTTCTCGATACACAGAGACTTGCAATCTCATCATCTGTCGACTTTCTTCAAGCATGGAAAGTATTATCCGGTGGATTTCTTCAAGCATAGAAAACCGCCAAATTCCTTTGTCGGCTTTCCTCAAGCATGGAAGGCATTATCGGTGGATTTCTTCAAGCATAGAAAAACGCCAAAATCATATGTCGACTTTCCTCAAGCATGGAAAGTGTCGTCTGGTAGGTTTCTTCAGGCTTAGAAAGCTACCAAACTCATCTGTCGGCTTTCCTCAGGCATGGAAAGCATTTCAACAAACGTCATCCGGTGGATTCCTTCAAGCATAGGAAGCTACCAAATTCACTTGTCACCGATACACTGGTGTCAAATAAGCGTTCTACCCCTTTACTCTTTTATCTGTGGAATTAACCTTTTTTGCAGGTATCGGTGTATACAGAGTGATTTAGGATCGCAGAATGTCTTAAATCATTCTCCGTCCCTATCGACTACTTTGACTATCGTTTTCAAAACTGACATTTCTACAAACTCAATCAAAGTGGGGGCTTCTGTAGACACCTAAAAATGTCTCCCCAAAACCAAACCCGATGATGAACAACCTTTCACCGCCATTATTGGTCGGGTTGAGTATTTAATTTTTGGAGTGCTTAAATCCATATTTCCATTTCATAAAAAAACCCAAATTCTAGCCCATTTCCCCAAACCATAACTTATTTTCCTCTTTTCGTGCCTTTAAACCCAAAATAATTCATTTCGTGTCTTTTAAAATCATTTATTTCGTGTCCTTTTTATAAAAACGTTTACTCCAGTTTATTTTGGTCCATAATATGGGTCCAATGATTGAATAGTTGGATGGGTATTTAAAAGAACTTTCCAACAATATATTATAAGCCCAAATCCGAGTTATAACGAATAAGTTATGGTCAAAATATTAAACTGAGCCCAAACCGAACCTAAGCCCACCTTACCTACGACCCAATGATCATGTGGAGGGTCCAAATTATTTAATCCCATTCCTAAACCAATTAGAATTAATTGGAAGCTTCTATAAGTTTCTAAAAGATCTTAATTATCCTTTTTGAAAAGATAAGATTAAATAGTTTAAAATTGAATAAAACTCCTTTTTTTTAAAATCCTATTTATATCCGAATTGAAAGACGTTCAAAGATAGACAAATATTATTTTCGTGCATCATAGTTTTTATCTAAATTTTATATGGTTGGATATCCCTTGAAATTATCTTTCCAATTATATATTATAATATCAATTCCGAGCTATAACGAAAAAGATATGAATCAAATAAAAAACTCTATCCAAAACTGACACCGTCCCACTATTTCGGTCATATCTTTTATTCTATAAAATATTTTAATCTGATTCTAATAGGGTTAGAAAGTATACTTCTAGAGCTTTTCAACGATATCTTATTCATTTTATTTCAATTTCAAGATCAAAAGATATGATATAAACAAAAACCGCAAAAATTGCAGTCTATCGAGTTTTATTCCGATTTAATTCGAATCTTATCTTTTTTTTCGACCCTTCTTTTTTTCTCTATAAATAGAGATCACATCACCCCTTTTCCAATCATCAACAATCTTGATCATCAAATAATTATCTTCTCCCTCTTTAGCCTAAACACTAGCCTCCCTATTCTTCCATAATACTTCCCATAAGCACTCCAAGGAGTCCATACAATACATGAAGTTCTATACTTTAACCAAGGATTGATAGGTAGAATTAACTGAGGGTTTGGACCAAATCAAATCTAAATTTTATTTAATTTAATTTTCATTTGATTTATATTTTTATTGAAGTTACTAACAGTTTATTCATGATGTAGCAATTCAAGGAAACGCAGAAAGTGGGTAATTAATCACTTAATTACTCTTATTTTATTCTTGTTGCTAGCATCATGATTAGGTTATTTTATATTTGATTTGACCAACAATTCATTGTTAAATTGGTTCCAATATTAATGTTTATTCTATTATTTATTGATCACCATATTGCATGTTTAAAGGGAATATGTAATTGAAAATCACGCCTAATAAGATAATTTGGACAATCGATTTAGGTTCCTTTTTAATCTTGTTGTTTAATCAAGTGATCACAATATTTTAGAATAATATGTTGCATTAATATTCAACCAATTTATCCTAATAATAGTTTGGAGCAAATTGAATCTTTGTTTGTATGCCTTTGAGATCGCAGGAATCATTTTTTCACTATAAGAATCGAGTAGAGGCCAATACGGGCGAATGTGACTCCATGACTCACTTCGTACCATCATCCCCGATCCTCCTTTCGTGGTTTCGAACCATATGGAGTTAGTAATCTCATGGATTATGAATGGGGTGTAACCTTCACGGGTCAATCGTTGTTGCCTATCGTTGTCCCTTATTCGTGGTTGCCTTTTATGATCCGTGAACGGTTTACAAGTTCCTTAAAAACTTGTTGGCGGCTCCCTACTTTCCTTGTCCCTAATCGTATATGTCAATTCCCACTTCCTATGAGTGCCAAGCATATTCACACATGCTTTTAACGTAGGCGCACTTCGAGCGACGCCTACAGGGGGTATTCTTTTTCTTCAATCCCAAATACCAGTTACCGGTTGAATGGGTTTTTTCTTTATTTTTTGTTAAAGTGACAAGTGTCAAAAATTAATTGGTTAAAAACATAAAAAAAAAAAAAAGAAAATTAAAAAAGAAAAACAACCCAGCCAAAACCCCAACTACCCTAAAAATCCGGCAACCCGCCAATCCAGCTACCTCCCTCGTTGGCGGTCGTCTCTCCCATACCACCAGCCTAGCCATTAGGGTCGCCGCTCCGACCAAACCACCATCCACCACTAGCCCAACTCCCGAAAACCCCTTCCCCCCACTCTCGAAAACCCCTTCCACCACTCTCGAAAAATTCGTCTGAACCAGCAGCCCCACTCAAAAACCCCTCTAAACCACCTTGCCTACTCTCGAAAACCACCAAAAACCACTTCCCCCACCATCGAAAACCCTAGCCGCTAGGGTTTCGGGGTGGGGGAGGAGTAATTGGGGTTTTTCGGGAGTGGGAAAGGGTCGTTGCTTTGGTGGTTGCGTGGGGGGGTTGAAGGTGATTTCGGGAAAGGGGGAAAATGATGAGGGAAGGACGCGGTCCACTGAGCTCAAGGAAAGAACGGGTGCTTCTCGGCGATGGCGAGGCGGTGGATTTTAGTGGTGGTGGAGGTCGGTTATGGTGGAACGGTAGGGGAGGGGAGGGGAGGCTGCTGGCTGGGGTTTTTCTTTTTTAAAAAAAATTGAGTTTTTTTTAAAATTTTTTGGTCTTTTTTTTAATTTTTTTGGACCAATCATGACTTGACACGTGTCAAGTGACCTGATATAATAGGGCATTGACTTTAGTTTACCGGTTAGGGATTGAAGAAAAAGAATGACCCATAAAGTTCGGATTATTCCAGAATAATCCAAAGTTGGGATTATTCTAGCAAAATTGATGAAAGTTGGGATTATTAATTCTAATTTTCCCTTTTTTTTATAATTATTATCAGTGCATGACATGTAATGAAAATCAATGGATGAGAGAGCCACGTGGCGTTATGAGTACTTGAACGGATGACGTGGCATAGTGAGGGGATCTTATTACCTGACAACAATGCATTTTAATATGTTAATATATATTTTTTTTCCTTTTAAGTGGCCTTGGGTCCTTGGGCGTGGGGGAAGCTCGACTCACTCTGCATAGATTGACTAAACGCAAAAGGCCTTCCACTAGCAAGCGATCGTGTTTTTCACTGGCTCTGCTTGTGATACAAAATGTTACGAAAATCTTTGTTCCATCAATAAATCCAAATTTTGTGATTAATTTTCCAATAGGATGTTCTCTCACAGTCGTAGAATATCTTGTGTAATTGTGTATATTCTCTATTAAAAAAACTCTAAGAGCACGTTAAGTAAGGATTTTTTTTAGTTTTTTTTTTCTTAACGGCAATTTTTTTAGTTAGAAACATATTAAATTAAACCATACTATTATCAAGTATTTGGTTAGAAGATTTCGTAATAATTACCACTATCTAACAGTAATCCATGGTTTTTACCTATTTATTTCCTCTCTTAAACATAAGGTAATTATTATACTTACCCATCTCAAACAAAAATTAAAAAAGAGAGTTTAATTACCACTATCTAACAGTAATCCATTGTTTTTACCTATTTATTTCCTCTCTTAAAACATAAGGTAATTATTATACTTACCCATCTCAAACAAAAATTAAAAAGAGAGTTTAATTCAAATGATTCATTTTCATGATTAAACCAAACCAATAAAAGATCAAATAAAAAACCATCTTTGATTAATAAACTCACTTGTGCATGTTTAGTTTAAGAGAAATTTATGAAAATAGAATAATTTAAACAACCATAAAATACAACACAAAACTAAAGATCAAAGGTGCATCATGTATTCATGTATCATCATCTATTCCTATAATAGACATCATATATATAGCTTTAGTTAGAAGCTGCTTTGAACCTAGGCATAATAATCTTGGCAAACTCCATAAGCCTGTCAACCTCAGGCATGTAGTCCTTGACAGCATCAGAAGCAGAAAACCTCTCGGCCCAGGCAAGGAGGCTAGGCGTCTCTTCCTTGTTAAGCGCGTTAATGTTGCTCAGTTTTTCATAGACGTATAACCACCCCAAGTAGCTCCCAAGGGCAATGTCAAGGTACCCGATATTGTCGCCGCTGAAAAATGGCTTCCCTTTGCTGCATTTGACAAAGGCATCCTCAAGCAATGACATCCCTTCTTTCACTTTCTCTATTGCTGCTCTTCTTACTTCCTCACTTTGTGCAAGGGCTACTTCACGAAATGTTGGGAACCACTACATATTTGGTAACAAATGTACATAAATATTACGTATATAACTTGCAATACAGACGTTAGTCGTGTATATTGATCAACACTAACTAAACAATCAAATTATACAAAAAAACTTTACAAAGTACTCCTTTTAGTCACTTGATTAATGTTCAACAAAATTTTACTAAGTCATTTAAGAGTCACGGTAGTAAACAATAAATAAATCAATGTTTCTATTATGTCATTTTTCAAAACATGACACCATAAAATGATGTATGATGTTATGATTGGTCAATTATTTATTTATTTTTTTTAAAAGCCTAAATGTATAATACATGAATGTATAATTGTAAATACATGTATTTTTTTAAAGAATACGTAATTATAGTTTTTAAAAATCTATTTTTATTTTTCTAAATCATTTTTGAAAATTAAATTATAATTAAAATTTAGAAAATAAAAAAATCATCATTGTTCTTCATTGTTCATCATTGTTCTTCCATCATGATATAAATTAACCACCCAAAAATCTTGTATAAACTATTAATAACTCAGACCAAAATTCGAACAAAAAAAATTCCGTCCAAACATCGGATTTATTGGGTTCCAAATCTGCTTCCATGATCCATATATATACGTATTTCGTTTTTGGGTTTGATTGATAATTTTGATTTATGTAAAAATCAAGTTGTTTGATGGTTTTAATGATGAAAATAGTTTTAGGAGTGTGTATTACGATGATTTAAAGCACGAATCTTTCAATGTTTATGAAGATCAATGGATAACAAGGGTGTAATTTACAATTTAGAGTTCGATTTTTTTTTTCGCAAACTTATTTGATCCATAATTGAGATCAGATCAGTGATTTTATTTAATATATATGTTTGTGGTTAGATAATTATCCGTACTTAGTTAGGTGATTACTTGTATTTATTTAGGTCATTACCTAACTCACAAACAAGTTCGAGAAAACTTAATTACATTTATTGGATCAAATAGGGGTTGTGAACAAAAAAAAAATGCGACCACTTCATCTTCTATTTACACACTTGATACTCCTTGTTCTTTGACAAAATTGCACAATTTGAGTTCACATAATCATATTTTTAAACCATTCAAGTGGAATTTGTTTTTGATTTTTGTCCCGATTTTAGTTCGGATTTACAAATTTATCAACAATTAACATTGATTTGGAAATAGGGAGCTAATCTATGAAATGATTGATGAACAATGATGAATAATATGGACAATTTTAATTTTTAATTATAATTATAAATTCGAAAATTAATTAATATTATAAAAATAGACTTTAATTATAATTATTTATTTCTTAAAAAGTAATACATGTATTAAAAAGAATACATACAAAAGTAAAATTTTAATACATTATGGACGTTAAAAATAATTCAAAATGAAAATAAAAATACTAAATACAAGCCAATCAGATTTCGCCACATCAGCAAATTGTGGTGTCATTTTTAAAGAATGACATTGTAGAATTTTCAGTAAACATATACGGATTATTTCGTACATAAGTATAAGGTAAAGTTTACTATATACATAGTTTATTAAAGTTTATTTGATTTCTTGAAAAAAAAAAAAAAAATTACAAGAAGTATACAATGTTTGTCAACTCTGTGTTAAATTGCTTGCCATGCTTGCTCTGTATTTTCATCAATTAATCAAGGAGAACAACACAAAGTATTTTTTCTGTTTTTTACTTGCAACACTTTTAGCTCAATTACTTCCTTGCCAATCTACTATTCAATCACTAAAATTTAGTAAATCACGAAATTAAGAAATAATACCTCATCGATGTAAGCAGCCCAAAAGCGTTGGATGGCGCGATCATAAGGCTCGGCTGGGAGAATGGACGGAGTAGATGGAAAGGCCTCATCAATGTATTCAACAATGTTGAGAGACTCACAAACAGGCTTATTATTATGAAGAAGAACTGGGATTTTTTGGTAAACAGGGTTTGTTTCAAGTAAAAGATCACTTTTAGATTGCAGTGTTTCTTCAATATATTCATAATCTACTGATTTCAAATGAAGTGCAATTTTTGGTTTAATTGCATATGGACTTGGCCAAAATCCTAGTAATTTCACCTCTTCTCCCATTTCCATTTTTTTTTTTTCTCTCTTAAGATACTTATCAAAATGAAGATTATCCCTCTTCAGAACTTATTTCTATTGTGTGGTATAGGAGCTTCATGGAAACTTCAAACCACTTTTAATTAATCAATTAGACAAAAATTGTATGATTGAATTTGTTAGAGTCAAAATTGATTGCTCAATTTATCAGAAATTATTTTGATAATCACTTTTTAATTCTTAAAAAAATTATTCAACAATGTTAGAGTCAAAATTGATTGCTCAATGTATTCAACAATGTTAGAGTCAAAATTGATTGCTCAATTTATCAGAAATTATTTTCATCTACGCCGTAAGTTTGAGTCGAGTTAGTGTGAGTCGGGTCATCTCGGGTTGGGTCAATAAGGGTTAATGTCATAACATATGCGGGTCGGATTCGGGTTGGGTCATGCTTGAGTTGAGTCACGTCGGGTCATACATCTTATCGGGTTTAGGTCAGGTTTAGGTTGTGTTAGTAAAAGGTCGGGTTACATTCGGGTCGGGTGAAAAATAGGTCGGGTTAAATTCGGGTCTTTACGGGTTTAAACGAGTTAGGGTCGTTCTCGGGTTCGAGTCGGGTTCGGTTCAAGTCAGTTATTTACGGGTTATAATCAGGTCGGGTCATTCTCGGGTTTAGTTCAAGTCAATAATTTGCGGGTTATAATCAAGTTGGGTCATTCTCGGGTTCGAGTCGGGTTTGGTTCAAGTCAATAATTTGCTGAAAATGTTTCATCCCTCAAATTCGTCCCTAAAATTCAAAGTGAAATATTGAAGAAATAGAGTTAGTATTTAATTTCCGTTCCAATACCAACATGAGATAATGACCTATACATATTGATTCAATAACAAATCGGGTTGAATTTGGGTAGGGTCAATAACAAGTCGGGTATGTAACAGGTCGGGTTGAAATTCGAGTCGGGTTTGTAGCAGGTCGGATCGGGTTAAATTCGGGTCGGGTTGAATTCATGTCGGGTTGGGAACAGGTCGGGTTGAATTCATGTCGGGTTGGGAACAGGTCAGGTTGAATTTAGGTTTTGACGGGTTAAAACGGGTTTGGGTTAATTTCGGTTCAGGTCGGGTTCGGTTCAAGTCAATAATTTACGGGTTACATTTGGGTCGGGTCGGGTCTCTAGGTTGGTTAATGTTCGGGTTTAGGTCATAAATACTCGGGTCTAGGGTTGGGTTAGGTCGATTTCGGGTCACCATTTTTTTCGGGTTCAGACAAGTCGGTTAATAGGTCGGGTTAGATTCGATATTTCGGGTCGGGTTAGCTTTTGACAGCTCTAGTCGTATCACATAAGATGATTCGAATCCTCTATTTACCTAAATGTAGTAATAAAAATGAACGGTTTAAACGTCCAGACCGAGGAAACAGAACACAAGAACAAAGGAGATAGGCTAAAATCAATGGAAACAGGAAAGAATAAGTTAAAGATGAAAATACATGAAGGAAGGATCATCTTGTATAAGGATACTTTTATAATAAAAGAGACTGAAATTTAAAGAACGATTGATAAAACAGAACACTCTGGTTTCATAAAAGAAACTATGAAATTTAAAGAACAATTGATGAAACAGAACATTCTGGTTTCCGAAGTACATAAAGCACATTTATTTTGAGAAAATAATTTAAACTGCCATAAACCAGCTGAAATACTAGTCTCTTAGAAGCCATCATACAACAAACCATGCCTATAATATTAGTTAGAAGCAGCTGCTTTGAACCTAGCCATAATAATCTTGGCAAACTCCATAAGCTTGTTTGTCTCAGGCATGTAATCCTTGACAGCATCAGCAGCGGAAAACCTCTCAGACCAGGCAAGGAGGTTCGGCGTCTTATCCTCAGTCAGCAGCTTAACGTTGTTCATCTTTTCAGAAACGCGCAACCACCCCAAGTAGCACCCTAGGGCAATGTCCAGGTATCCAATGTTGTCGCCGCTGAAAAAGGGCTTCCCTTTGCTGCACTTGACAAAGGCATCCTCAAGTAATGACAACCCTTCACTAGTTTGCTCTAATGCTGCTGCTCTTGCTTCATCAGTTTGTGCTTTGGCTACTCCTTGTAAATTTGGGAACCACTACATTTTATTTTTAACATAATTAGCACAATCATTTAATCTGCAACACACACATTCGTATTCAACACTAACCAAATGAACGTTTCAGGGAGACGTATCTTGCTCAATTCACCACTAATGTCTTGTGTACAAATATACTCATATACTATATACATATTAATCCGTATAATGGTATTTGGAGCTCAATATGTTTGGTTGGTTAATAACAGGGTATATAAACAATCTTGGGCATTAACCATTAGCGTAAGCTTTTAGTTGAGTTGGTTACACATTATAGTTTGAAGAAAAAGGAGAACCTTATTGTTACAAAACTTTCTGTTCATCCAAAATTCACTAATGTTGGGAAGAAAAAAATTGTGTAAATGAAAGAAACAAATGCTTGTGGTATATGCTTTCATAGAAACGATGAAATAGACTAATATTGATCTCAAGGATTCTCCGGAGTAATTTGATAACATTATAAAATATGATAAAAGCTAACGAACATCTCATAGGCGTTGGATAAGATAACTAAAAGTGAAAATTACAAATTAAAATAAACATTAATTACACCGATCGACCGGTGATTTTGTCATACATTTCAAATTAGTAGCACTTTAAGAAATGTTTTAAATGCTTAATCCAACGCCGCTTCCCGCCCCCCTCCCCCGGCGTTGTTAGCAAGATCCATAAAATATTTCTTACTGATACGGAGTATTAATTTGAAAATGCATGTAAAAATCAAGCATTGATCAGGAGCAATTAGTAATTTTGTCATAAAATATTTTTTTAATTTAATTATTTTACTTTTAATCATGAACGTTTGTTAACTTTTGCCATAAAATAGCAGGTACCAATGTATATTTTCAAACTCTAACTAAATACAGGTCTCAAATTCTTGAAATTGGCAATTTGTCAGGGACTATGACAAAATTGACAATTTGACGAATAGTACACAAGCACTTAATGGAAACGTCAAGGTAGTAGTTGGTTAATAAAGGGAAACTTTTTTTTTTTAACACAAGCACTTAATGTTGACTGTATTAGCTTAAAATGTGGATCACTTATCAGTTATCACATAAAATGCTGGATCTAACGCACAAATAATCAAAGCCCATATATATTTTCTTTTTTTTTTCTTTTTTTTTTATTACCTGTTCCGTAGAAATTCAAACAATTTTATAAGCATTTCCACTTTTCCAACAAAAGTTGTGCAATTCCCTCAAAAAAAAAAAAAAAAAAAAACAAAAGTTGTGCAAATTTGAAAATTGGTTTTTAAAACTGACACCAAAAATTACGCAAACTAACATTAAAAAAAAAAATTAAAGCCCCTAAATACCGAACAAGCCCTAAAATTATCTCTACCTAACCTCATATATAATGTTGTTAAAAATAGGTTTGATAAATTATAATCTACCCTAATTAAAAACAACAATATGAGAAAATAATTTAATGTTGTTGGATTAAAAAGGTGATTACCTTGTCATCGATGTAAGCAGCCCAGAAGCGTTGGATGGCACGATCGTAAGGATCAGAAGGGAGAATGGACGGACCAGATGAAAAGGCCTCGTCAACGTATTGAACAATAACAAGGGACTCACAAACCGGTTTATCATTGTGAATAAGAACCGGGATTTTCTTGTGAACCGGGTTTGATTTTAGCAAAAGCTCACTTTTTGGTTGCATTGTTTCTTCGATGAAATCATATTCAATTGATTTCAAATGGAGTGCGATTCTTGGTCTCATCACAAATGGGCTTGGCCATGCTCCCAACACCTTCACTTCTTTTCCCATTTTTCTCTCTCTCTTTTTTTTTTCTTTAAAGTGAGGATGTTTGTAATGAAATGTATGTGTAATATTTTGTGGTAGGTTTTGAGAAGGTATATATATAGAGAGTATGGAGACCCTTGTGAGGCCTGTGATAAATTGAGTCGTACTTTTATATTCCGTTCTTTTAGCTTTTTATATGCAAACCTTTTAGTAGTATTATTTTTCTTTTAAAGGAATGAGATTAAGGTTGATTATATTGATGAAAGGATACCATTGTTAATAATGTTACAAATGAATAATTCTAATACTACATACAATCTCTATGATTCACAACAATTAAATGATATCCATACCCTAAATGATTATGAAATATGATATCAAAGATATTTACATAGCATAGTATCCTATTGTACCAATTATAAAAGATATGGTAATAATATTAATATCAAGAAATAATCTCTTGGTATCTCTAACATTAAGGCTAAGGCAAAAATTATCCAAAAAAATGAAATCTTGATCCGTATCTGATCCAAATATTAGAGAACCTGATCCAATAATTTTATTTGATAAAATATATACGGTTATATATTTTTTTTTTTTGTGTGCAAATTAATTGATAACATATAAACCATAACATAATCATATTGGGTCTTATTTGATTAGACTTAATAAGTAGCTAGTTAAAATTCAATGTTTGTTATAACACTCCGTATATTTTACTAACATATGTATACTGTCAAAGTGAGAAGATCATTATGAAACAGAAATGTTTGGACCAAGTCCATTGTCCTAAGCCCATTTACCTGGAATTACGAAAATACCCCTCCATGATTCAGCCCATCATTAGTCAGAGTAAAGTACAGATTTACCCCTAATCTGTCCAATTAAGTACAACTTCTGTCATTTGAAAGTACATCTATAAATAGCTCTCCAATCATTAATGATGGTAACTTTTTCTTAATTCTCTAACCTTCTCTCTCTACTTTCTCCATCCAAAGTACTCTTTCTCTCTCTAGAAAGTACTTTCGCTGACTTAAGTATCGGAGGGGCTTTCCCGGGTCACACTCCCGGGGCAGCTAACCTTCTTTCTCTTTTGCAGGCCTAGCTCTCGGACGACAAGGTATAGCTGAGGGGAATTCGGACATTCATTGGACCTAGCTCTAGGACATCTTGATTTCATTACCCTAACACCGAGGAACATTCTGTTTCCAGAAACAGGTGGCGCCGTGTGTGGGGATAACTAACTAAAAGCCATGGTGAACACTAGGCGTCCCCGCATCACATATCAAGATGCTACTAGAGAAGTTTCGAATCTCTCAGCTCGGCATAAGCATGAAGTCGAGGAAAATATTAGAGGCAAACTCTTATACAAGCTGCTCTCATCATGTTACAACTCACTCAAATGAAATGAACAATTCAAGAATTAGGGGCAAGCCGAGCCCCCAGCTAGTCTACATTAGGCTCTCGGCATGCCCCACCCAACATCTAGGCCTGCCAGCATATCCCCTCGGCCTGCCAGCATTCCCCGAGGGCCTGTGAGCATACCCTCTCGGCTTGCCTAGCTAACCCTCAGCTTGCCAGCATACCCCCCCTCGGCCTGCCTGGCTACCCCCTCGGCCTGCCAGCATACCCCCCTCGGCTTGCCAGCATACCCCTCGGCTTGCCTAGCTACCCCCCTGGCTTGTCAGCATACCCTCTCGACTTGCCTGGCTACCCCCTCGGCCTGCCAGCATACCCCCTCGGCTTGCCTGGCTACCCCCTCGGCCTGCCAAGCTACCCCCTGGGCATGTCAGCATACCCTCTCGGCCTGCCAGCATACTCCCTCGGCTTGCCTGGCTACCCCTTCGGCCTGCCAGCATACCCCCTCGGCCTGCCAGCATACCCCCTCGGCCTGCCTGGCTACCCCTTCGGCCAGCTAGTATAACCCCTCGGCTTGCCTGGCTACCCCCTCGGCCTGCCAGCATATCCCCTCGGCTTGCCTGGCTACCCCCTTAGCATACCTAGCCGAAGGCCATGCTTCTATCAACCGCCTCGGCATGCATAGCCGAGGGCTATGTCTCTAGCTATCATCTCCTCGATATGCCTAGTCGAGGGATATTCTTCTATTAACCATCTCGGCATGCCTAGTTGAGGGTTATGCCTCTATCATCTCCTCGGCCTTCTCGGCATGCCTAGCCGAGGGCTATGCTTTATCATCTCCTCGGTATGCCTAGCCGGGGGATATGCTTCTATTAACCATCTCGGCATGCCTAGTTGAGGGTTATGCTTCTATCATCTCCTCGGATTTCTCGGCATGCCTAGCCGAGGGCTATGCCTCTACCATCTCCTCGGCATGTCTAGCCTAGGGATATGCTTCTATCAACCGCCGTTGAAGGCTATGCTTCCATCATATCCTTAGCATGCTTAGCCGAATGCCATGCTTCTATCAACCGCCTCGGCATGCCTAGCCGAGGGCTATGCCTCTATCATCTCTCCGATATGCCTAGCCGGGGGATATGCTTCTATTAACCATCTCGGCATGCCTAGTTGAGGGTTATGCCTCTATCATCTCCTCGGCATGTCTAGCCTAGGGATATGCTTCTATCAACCGTCGTTTATGGTTATGCTTCCATTATCTCCTCAGCATGCTTAGCCGGGGGCTATTCTTCTATCAACCTCCTCGGCATGCCTAGCCGAGGGCTATGCCTCTATCAACTGCCTCGGCATGCCTAGCCGAGGGCTATGCCTCTAGATATCATCTCCTCGATATGACTAGTCGGGGGATATGCTTCTATTAACCATCTCGGCATGCCTAGTTGAGGGTTATGCCTCTATCATCTCCTCGGCCTTCTCGGCATTCCTAACCGAGGGATATGCTTTATCATCTCCTCGGTATGCCTAGTCGGGGGATATGCTTCTATTAACCATCTCGGCATGCCTAGTTGAGGGTTATGCTTCTATCATCTCCTCGGCTTTCTCGGCATGCCTAGCCGAGGGCTATGCCTCTACCATCTCCTCGGCATGTCTAGACTAGGGATATGCTTCTAACCACCGCCGTTAAAAGGCTATGCTTCCATCATATCCTTAGTATGCTTAGCCGAATGCCATGCTTCTATCAACCGCCTCGCCATGCCTTGCCGAGGGCTATGCCTCTATCATCTCCTCGGCATGCCTAGCCTAGGGATATGCTTCTATCAACCGCAGTTGAAGGCTATGCTTCCACTATCTCCTCAGCATGCTTAGTCGGGGGATATTCTTCTATCAACCTCCTCGACATGCCTAGCTGAGGGATACGCCTCTATCGTCTCCTTGGCATGCGTTGCCGAGGGCTATGCTTCTATCATTTCCTTGGCAAGCTTCTATCATATTCTCATCATGCCTAGCCGAGGGCTATGCATCTATTAACCCCTCGGCATGTCTAGCCGAGGGATATCCTTCTATCAAGCCCTCGACATGCCAAGCCGAATTAACATGCCTAGCTAAGGGTAATGCTAAGGTGAAATCATCCCTCTTGAAGATGAACTTTACAAGATCAAGGAGGTCATTCACTCGAGGGTCTTCCACTCACAAGTTCCAAATATCTAGGTCCTCAGCTATCATTCTCCATCTATCATGAATATCTACAAGCTGGAGCCTGCAACCGGTATGCTTGGAATGCGGACTTAAGACATTGTGTCTGAGAAACTTCTCAAATGACAATGATGCCCTAGGGGCAATAAGAGCTTATACTAGAAGATATTTCTTTTAATAGTCCATCATTTCATTTTTCGGGTTGGTTATCTACATAGCTGCCTAAAGCTCTAAAATCTCGGGAATTCATTATCTTCTCAAAAAGCATCGGGTCTTCCTTCGTACAAGACACCAGGCAAACTAACGTTATCAATAACAAGTTTGTTCCAATGTTTGGGGAAAGATGCTAGCCTATACTCAATGTTTGAGATAGTGTCCTGGCGAATCGCTAAAATAACAAAAGGCTCGTTTAGCCCTCGGCATATCCCAAAAGTTGGGATAGCGTACCCCTCATATATTTATAACTTGGGGCTCGTTTAGCCCTCGACCTATCTTAAAAGTTGGGATAGCCTAGCTCTCATACATATATAACAAGGGGCTTGTTTATCCCTCAACCTATCTCAAGATTTGGGATGACGTACTTCTCCCCAGCTTATCCCTATGATTGGAATAGCATACCTCTCATCTATTTTTATTAGGAGGCTTACTTCGGCCGGAAGATCTCTTCAATGCAAGTCAAGCGCACCCCGGGGACTAGTTTCTACAATATCAACAAAATTCAAAAGTTTGAAATAATCATCAAGTCAAGCCGGCAAAACATTCAACATATTTCAATTAGGAGAAAAAGAATTTTCTCTTGGGTTTGTAACAAACTCACAAGCAAGGCATACCCTAGGCTCTCAGCGTTGCTATATAAAGCTCAGCTTCCGGCTTATCTATATCACCCCTTCAACCTTGGGTAATTTTAGCAAAGATAATGCATGCCAAGCTCTTGGCTAATAGACCCAGCTCGAGCATGCTCTTGGTACTTGAAGCTAGGCCCTCGGCCTAGAGGAGGCTTGACCCTCAACATGACAAGTCAAGCCCATCGACATCTCTCAGCCTAGAGTTGGCTATTTACTCTTTCCGCTCGCCCTATTAAGTCACCCTCTCACCATGGCCTCCCTCTGCTCGGCCTAGAGTGGACTTGACCCTCAGCATGACAAGCTAAGCCATCGGCATCTCTCAGCCTAGAGTTGGCTCTTTACTCTTTCCGCTCGGCCTATTGAGTCACCCTCTCAACTTGGCCTCCCTCCGCCCGGCCTAGAGCGGGCTTGACCCTCAGCATGACAAGCTAGGCCCTCGCATCTCTCAGCCTAGAGTTGGCTCTTTACTCCTTTCGCTCGGCCTATCGAGTCACCCTCTCAGCTCAACCTCCCTCTACTTGGTCTATTCAATCATTATCTCAACTCAGCCTCCCTCCGCCCGGGGTATTAAGCTTCTTGGTTTATTTCTCAAAGATAACTCGATTGGGGTATAAAGCACTTGGTTTATTTCTCAAGATACCTCCTCCTAGGGGTATACAATACTTGGTTTATTTCTCAAGTTACCTCCGCCTGGGGGTATAAAGCACTTGGTATATTTCTCAAGGTACCTTTGCCTGGAG